AAAAGGGAACAATTGCCCAGCACTAAGCCTGTTCCAGTGCAAGAGCAGTCCTTGCCAGCCTCCACCACCATCCACTTTCATTGCTTAGCATGTTGCCATACGGTGTGCAACATCCCTCTGGTCAGCTGGGGTCAGCCGCCCTGTCTGTGTGTCTCCTTGTCCACCCCCGGCCTCCTGGGCAGGACAGTTGAGGAGCAGAAAAGGCCTTGGCTCTGTACAAGCACTGCACAGCAGTAACTGAAACATCCCTGAATTATCAACACTGTTTTCAGCACAAATCCAAAACACAGCCCCATACCAGCTACTGTGAAGAAAATCAGCTCTGTGCTGTCATATTAAAATTCCTGTGAAGGAATTTCAATATTTTAAATGTACAAAATCATTAAAAAATAATAACCATTAGGTAAGTATTTAGTAACTTTTGAGTTTTTAATAGTAAGATATTTATATAGTCTGGAGAGCAGCAGGAAAAAACAGGAGCTATCTAAGTACTAAATCACCTAGGCTACCCAGGTTTCTTGCATAGCAAGTTGAAGAGAATCTTGCCAAAAATGATTCCTAGTACTTCAGTAAGACCTGCCCTAAAATGTTCCTGATAAAATCTCTCTCTTAAAATAGCTGGACAGCTGAGGGCATCTGAGTGTTAAAAGCTGAATGTTGTAAATACTCCACAGTGTTACATTTAGCACTACTTAAAACCTTGTGAAAATAAATGTTTATATTTCTAAAATTGACAGAGCTAACTGTTGATGAATAACAGTGAATTCCATTTGTAAGTTTTCTATAAATGCAGCCACAGACAAGGATCCACCACTAAACTGTAAAATTTGAAGCTTGAAAAAAGAAAGAAGTGCATTCAAAAGAGAAGCTCAGTGCAAATACAAGGGATGTGGTAAGAATTAAGAGCTGATCATCAATTTCTTTAGGAAATTGTAGATGAGATGATTATGGTGGCATTTCATCAGAATATGTAAAAGAACTATATTTCACCTACCAAGGTTTAGCCCTAGACCACATAAAAATAACCAGAATCAAAGTTTCACATTCAGTGGCTAACAGGTAAAACGTCACAGAAGAGATATCATCTACTGCAGGAGAGCTTAATCCTTTCTTTTTTGGTTGATTGTTTTTTGGTTTTGTTTTTGTTTTTGTTTTTTTTTTTTGCTAGATATTCCATGAAAGAGGAGGGTTAGGAAGGGCTTTGCAGTGGTTCAAAGGGGCAGTTGTCACTCTCTTTCTGTTATACATGGAGAAAATGCAGACTAAAGAAAAATGCAGGTCTTCTGTAACCACAGTTTTTCTCATGTCATCACATCATTTTGGTGCCTTTCTTGGGAATTCAATCCCCAGCACATAGCCCTTAAAATCCTGTGCAAGACATGAGCTTTTAATGATTCCTTGATAGGAGATGTGAGAAGTCACTAGACTGCTCACACGGCAGGCTCTTGTATAAATCAGGCAGCACTGAAATCAGAAGCACTGAAAATAAGTCTTATCACTTTAACAGATTTGTAAACACCTCCAGTTTCAGGAGTATTTTCCGTAAGCTGAAGTATAAACATGGAAGCCACAATATCTGGTTCCTGTCTTGGTAATAGATTTACTATCTTCTCCTTGGTAAATGATGTAAATTCAGGCCATCTCAATGAGTCTCAGCTAGAAAGATATAAGCTATTACTTCCTAGCTCACAAAAGCTTTCTAAGATGCAATAAATTCATATTTGCAAAGCAATTTAAAATCTTCACATCAAAAGTACAGCCTTCCTATTTTATGTGTGTAGCACTTCGATATATTAAGTTGGTCTGATGAACTGTTATGTTTTTCATATTTCTTTATTAAATGGTGCTGCACCATAATTATTGCTTCAATCACGAAGGAGAAAATGAATATGCATGCTAAAATGAAAAGCAGAACTAATGTATGTAAAATGTCTGTTCATTAAATCTAATGAATCTCCCTGTATAAAGAGGAGACTGAAAAGTACCGCAGCTAAAATATTTGTGACTGAAATCACTTATTTATGGGACTCCAAGCTGCACACTGTAAAGACATTTCCAAAGCATGTCAAGCTCCTAAGACTAAACAGTAGTGCTAAGAGAGACCTTTTAATATATTTATGAACATAACCAAGTGCCCATGTCCCAACCCACGACTACTTGGCGGTGCAGGTAAAGCTCTTCCCCCAGCCTTCAGCCCAGCATGCTGAGATTGCATCTCAGGAGCACCCCCTAGAAAATAATCTATTTTCTACCTGCCCAAGGGGATTTTTAATTGCTATTCCTGAGGAATGAGCCCTAACCCTTCTGGTAGCCTTGGATGTACCACCAAAGAGCCCACATAAGCCAGGAGGGTGGGAGCTGTGAACAGTTGCCCACACTGGTCTCTCTTGGGGACCCCAGGCCTGGTCATCAGGCATCTTTTCTCCTTACCACTGGAATAAGATATGTTAACTACATTGCTGGAAAGGCTGTGTGCCCAAAGGAAGTTGATAAACCAATGTGTTATTCTAAAATGGCCAATGTATCACAAAATCAGGAAACAGCCTCTCGTGAGCTTTTTGGCTCAGTGATGCACACATGCAAAGCATTACCTTATTTTCTTTCGATCAATTAAAAGATAAATGCATGACATATAACGTAGGCCAGATTCTAGCCATGTTTGCTGTTAGCTGTCATGAATTTCTTGGCAGGCTGTTGAGAAGATCTGTGAGTTTGAGGCTGTGAGTGCAAAGAAGCGTGGTGTTGAGCCATTCCTCATAGTCAGTTAATTACTAATCATGCTAGAGAGATCTGGTGGCTGCAGTGACCAGACTGCTGCTCTCTGTAAGAGTTCAGGAATTCTTAATCATTTCATGCTGACATTTATTGTCACAGAAATTTGAAGGAGGGAGGAAAATTATCCCTCTATTTTTTGAAAATATCAATTGAGTAAGTATCTGATATGAAAATTCCTATTAATATATCAAAGTCAGGTTTTGAAGTTTTTCACTCCTTTTCTGTTTCAGCAGCCATTCAACTCCAGATGCTACTTGGCATTTGGCTTGCAGAATCAGAAACCGAACTGTGAAGATAAACTCAGACTCGCTTTTACACATGTAACCAGACACAAAAATTACAAAACCAGGACATCAACGTAGGAACTCCATAAAAGGTTCTGTTTTCCACATTATTGGTTGAAAGAGTCTATTCTTCATGCTTTCCCCTAATTCTAAGTTCTAGCTGTTGTACAAAATCAGTGGATGCAAAATGTCCTTCACTCATGAACCTCTTTGTACTCTGGAACGAGTCACCTTCACAAGCAATGAGGCTCACATGAGAAATCTAAAATTTCTCTCAGCAATTTGATACTTGCAGTATCTGAAAAATCAGGTTGTGAACAGTCTATGACCAATGATGATAAGTATTAAGTCTGATTATACCAACAGACATGAAGAGGTAGGTAGAAGCCACTGATAAGTGTCCCAGTCCCAGGGTTCTGTCTTGGGACTGGTGCCCTTCAATATCCTAATCAGTGACACAAGCAATGATAAAGTGGACCCTCAGCAAGTTTGCAGATGACACAAAGCTGAGCAGTGCACTTGACGGAAAAGAAGCCCCTCTGCCATCCAGAGGGACCTGGACAAACTTGAGAAATGGGCCCATGAGAACTTTAGGAAAATCAATAAATTCAAGTGCAAGGTGCTTGTACCTGGGTCAGGGCAATCCCAGATATGAGTACAGCCTGGGAGAAGAAGTCATTAAGAACAGCACTGCAGAGAAGGATCTGGTGGTTTTCATGGGTGAAAAGCTGGACATGAGCCAATGGTGTACGCTCACAGCCCAGAGAGTCAACCGTGTCCTGGACTTCATCAAAAGCAGCAAATCAAGGCCAGCAGATCAAGGGAGGGGATTCTCCCACTCTCCTTTGTGAGACCCCACCTGGAGTACTACATCCTGCTTGGGTCCTCAGCACAAGACATGAACCTGTTTGAGCAGGTCAAGAGGAGGGCCACAAAGACAATCAGAGGGCTGAAGCACCTCTCCTATGAATACAGGCCAAGAGAGCTGGGGTTGTTCAGCCTGAAGAAGGCTCCAAGGAGACCTCATTGCAATCTTCCTGTACCTAAAATGGGCTTATAAAAGGGTGGCAGAGGGACCTTTTCTATGCGCAGATAGTGACTGGATGACATGCAATGGTTTTAAACTGAAAGAGGGAAGGTTTAGATTAAATGCTGGGAAGAAATTCTTTGTTTGGAAGGTGGTGAAGCACTAGAACAGGTTCCCCAGAGAAGTTGTGCATGCCTGATCCTTAGATGTGTTCAAGTCCAGGCTGGATGGGCTGGATTTTGCTAAATTGTATGAGTTAGCATATTCTAAGTAAACACTTTGTGGAATGCTTTGTCTTGGTTGTATGCCACCCTTTAAACGTTTGTCACGTGTCCTTATTTTCCAAAGTTACCAGTAGAAGTACCCCCTAGAAACTAGGTGTAGCTTTTCTCCTTTGTGGTCTCTCTTAAGTGTTTAAAGAACCAAGGGGTATTCTAATAATCCAGAGGGTGGATATTCTTGGAGCCTTGCCTATTTTTAAAGTAAAACCCCTTTGGTGAGCTGGTAGCTCCAGACTTGGGGTCTTACTCCCCTTCAAAGAGATTTTCACTGCGGGAGCAGCTGAGATGGATGCCCATGTTTTTGCCCCACAGGACATAAGGAGTGGCACAGTTATAGCAATGCAAAAGAAAAAAAAAAAAAAAGGATGCACTTCCATGCTGATCGGTCTAATCCCTTCTCCAAAATCATTGTTCTTGTTAGCTTATGCATGGAAACAAATAAAAACTTCAATCATTTGCATTTTAAATGGGAAGATGTTTGTGATTTGCTCCACCTGGAGGATGGATGCAATGCAGTCTGTCAGTTGATGTGATATTGGTATTCATAAGCAGCTGATTCCAATTAGCAGTTTTAGATAAACAGGATAATGGATATGAGTACAAGTGACACTCTTCCTTTTGTCTATTACACAGAAAGCCAGGCTTGCTCGAATTCGTGCGGCAAAGAGTGGGAGCGCTAATGCCTACATGCAGAGCAAACGAAATGGCTTGCTGAGTAACCAGCTGCAGCAGGTAATGTTTGTGTTTCCTCCACCTCCAGAGTAACACCTTAATGACAGCCCAGCAGTAGCTTATTCTACTTATCACCAGGGCAAGTCACCTTGGGGCTTTCAGCAAGGTTATCTTTAGAGGTAGATTAAGGAAGGATAAATTGGACAATTACTATTGTTAAAAGAAGCTTATGAGAGTCAATGATGGGGTATTAAGAGATGAGGGAAATGTCCAGACAGAAATGCTGGATTCAGTGTAACCCACATTTTTAGAGATCCTTTAGAAGAACTTGTTAAGAAAGTACAGAGCATTCACCTCTTAAGTGGTAGGTTTGATTTATCTCACTTGGCTTTAAACAGGTAGCAGATGGGTCACAAAGCCAGGTTTCATTGTGAGTGTGGGAAGAGGCAGCTCCTGGGTACCGTTTGCACAGAGGGGTGTTGCAGAGTGAAAAGCGTTCCCTCGAAGCACCTACTTTGGTTTAAGAAGAATCTTGGCAATTACTTCAAATGCATTGAAATCTAATGTTACCTGAAGCAAATCCCTCTTACCCCTGCCAAGGAAGCTGGGACCAGCAGCTGGGACTGGGATCACAGTGACCCACGCTGCTGGGAGTCAGCCTCTCTGCTCAGAGATGTACCCAGATGAGAATGATGAAAGACACAGCAGTTTTTTAATGTTGTTTTCTGGCATTTAGGCAATTTACCCTTTAGGCGAATTTAACCTTTCATTCTTCTCTGCCCTTTCTGTTCAATATGTGTTAAATAACCAGATGCTTTAACCTGTATCCAGAAAAGTAGGAAGTGGCTATCTGTCCATCTGATCTGTCTAGTACAAAAGATGAGCAGTCTTGTTTCCTCTTCTTCTTGAAAGAACTCCAGTATTTGAACTAAAAAGACACAAAATAGCTTAATTACCATGCAGATTTCAAATATCTCAAAGTTGAATTGTAATCTTTACTATTATGCTGCTTCCTCCCTTGTTTAGTTTTTTGCTTTCTAGTGAATAATTATGAAAGCAATGGATGCTTTCTACTTTATTCTGTCTATAACATTTGCTATACATTTTCCAAACCCTGCAGATTGGGATCACTGACATGAATTTTTGTGTAAGCAGAAATACCATAAATTCTTTAGTGCTGTGAAATGATCCCAGGAGGATAGCTATGTTTAATTTCCTTCAAATGAAGCACATTCCCAGAAAAAAAAAAATCACTGTCACTTAAATTGATTATAATTTTAAGCATGTGTTGATCCAGCATTCAAAGCTTACATGTTGATTGCACTTGTAAATTGTACTATTTCATCTATGCTTAAAAGATCTTAGATGGAAATATTTAACAGGAGGTGCAAGGGAAAGGAAGAAAATAGTTTGATTAAGAAACAAGCAAAAGAAAACTCAAATGCAAAATAATTTGGGCTGTGCTGTGTAGACAAAGCATTGCAGTTATGCTACCGTGTACAGTCCAGATTAGTTCTGATCAAATATTTGAATAAGAGCCCTCTTGTTCAAAAATGAGAATAATACGGAGTTCTATGTATCAACAGTCCTCCAGTGAAGAAGAACAGGCCTTTGCTGGCAAAGCTGGCTCTTCCTTTGAAACACAGCACCACCACCTGCTTCACTGCCTGGAAAAAACTACGGTAAGAAGAGAGAACTGTGTTTTCCTGTGAATTCCGACACCAGTCTATTTTTGAATGTTTTCAGTTATCTCTTCTAATTAATAAGCCTTTATATTAAAGCAGTTAGATGGAAAGAAAAGCTGTTTTATCTTACTTTAAGGCAATATACCCACTGCATATAAATAACAGATTCTGGATGAGAGCCTCACCCAGGGTGAAAGATATGCAGATGGCACTGGTTTAGCCAAGCTGTATATGTGACTTTTGGTATGGTTTTCTTATGCTCCATGATGTCCTCGTTTGCACTTTTCTGCAGTATACTTCATAAACTACAATTTGTAGTCCTTATACATTCAATACTCAGTGCACTCAAAGCAAGTTTTTGCCTGAGCAGATGTTGGTATTTTATGCAGGGAGAAATGCAGGCTGTGTCCTCTGACATGAACACTATTCTCACTGCAGTGACTGTAAAAGAGGGCCACACAGCATTCTATTTGGAAAATTCAAGTGCTTAATCCAGATGCAGGTGCAAAGCTTCCAATTGTGTTTGCTTCAATTTAGGTGCTGAGATCCCTGTAGAAGTCACTGATGTAATTCTTCATGGTTTAAATATGCTCATCTAGATTTGAAAGTCCTTATAACTCAAAATAATTACTTATTATGTGCTCTCTATATTTTCCCCTGGTCAATACCTACATAATTATAAAACCATAAAGGATAGTAAACTATAGCAGAACTATGGTTTAGGAATACTTAAGTGCCATGATTACTAATAGTATATTTCTGGACAGAAAAGGTCACAGCAATAGCCCTAATCATTCTTAATTTTACACTGTTTCCTCTTTTATGTCTTTTTTTTTAAGGATAATGATAAAAGATAACATATTATTGATACTGAATGTAGTATTTGTGAGTTGAGAATTTCACAGAGAGCATGCTAAAATTATCACCTTGTATGTTTGTATTTTTCAGTGTGTTATATTGCCATGCAGAATTTATCTTGTATTGAGGATAAATTGGTCAACATCCATGAAATTACTATTTACAAATTTATGTCTAGTTTTATAAGTTTATTTATTATTATGTTATTATTTACATTATTATTTATTATCTAGTTTATAAGTTGTAATTAAGGAGCTTTTTGGATGCTTTTAAGTAACCATCTCATCTCCTTTAAAGAGAACTTCTATTTGTTTGAATGTTCTTCTTTTACAGAGTTGCATACCTCAAAACGTCATTTCAGCTCCTGATTTATAACATGTAATTCAAAAGGAAGCTTTCTAAACTAATCTGGAAAATATTTATGAATTTTATTGTATTATAGTTCAATATAATAAATCTTATATAATTCCAACTGACATTTAAAGTGTTTACATAAGCACGATCTGCATTTTATTAATAAACATAATCTCTATTTTGTGGTACTTCATAGATTATACAGATATTTATAATGCAAACTACATTACAATCACATGCTATTTTGCAAAATAATTTGGATTAACAATTTCTTGTTTAGAGCTCTGTTTTGTTCCAGTGTTTACATTTGTATTGGTATTGAGCCCAGGCTAATATGGTCTAAACACTATAATCAAGAATAAGCCATCTAACTTTCCCAGTTTATTCAGTTGTGTCAATTTAAGCCTTTAAACAATCATGAATAATATTTTCCTTTCAATTATCTTTCTGTGTGTGCTTTGTCCCTTTGTTGGATTCCTCTGGCTAGAACCACGAGTTTGTGGATGAGCAAGTCTATGAAGAGAGCTGTATGGAGGTTTCTACAGTCAATAGACCCCCAAGCCACAGCCCCTCTATTTCGTCTCAACAAGGTGTCACCAGCACTTGCTGCTCACGAAGACATAAAAAGACTTACCGCATCCCCAACACCGCCATCGCTGGCAGCCGCCCAGGCAGTGTACAAGAGCTCAGCACCATCCAGATCAGATGTGTGGAGAGGACACCTCTGTCTAACAGGTACTTCACGTGCATCAGCACACCGAGAGCTGAAGCCCCTGGCTTTGTTAAAGAAGAGATCTGGAGGTGTTGTGGCCTCCATAGGCAGGATGCGAAGCTCAGGATGAGAGTCCAACAGTCATCTAAAAATGGATACTGGTATTGAAATGTTCTGCACTTCATTTGCTCCAAGCTTAATCCAAGATAATAGGATAGTCTGTCTATATTCATTTCTGCCCTCTCAGGCCCTCTCCACAAACTACTGTGTACTATCTGCAGCCAATAGCATACAGAGACCCCAAATGAAATTGAGCACCAAATACTATATGCTGTGAGCAAACACATAAGAAGAAAAATTTTGCAAAGAAAAATGTGCAGTTCTAATATATGAGATGAGTAAGTGGTCTGTCTGTCCATGCTTGGTTCAGAAGCATAGGAAATAAGACTTCCTCACATTTCTGCAGAGCAGAGAAATAAAACTGATTCCCAGACTTCTCAGTGTAATAGTTATAAGGAAGACTCTTCTAAATGAAAAAAATATGAAATGGATAAGAAAAATGTATTTCCTAGTCTGAGGAGTTGTTACAAAAGTGAGGAAAATGCAGTTTAAGAGTATATAATTTACTGAATGTCCCTGTACTCTCACAAGTAAAGCATCTGGCTTTCAGGTATGTCTGAATACAACCTCTGAAAACACCAGCAAAGGTCTCGGGACACCCAGAAGTGTTTTCTATTGAAGTCATACATGCCACCCTTCAATAAAGAAGCATTTTCAGTACTAGTTGCTATACAGATTGTCTTGTTAAGCTACTTTTGAGTAGCTTCCTTTGTATAGTTACTAGGTTTGGATTTCACTTCCATGAACAATCCAGCAGCTTGTAGCTACTGAAGTTTTTCAGCTGTTGTGCAATGAAACCTCCTGGCCAGCACAAAGCTCCAATCTATCTTAGCTTTTCAGGAAATATTCTGCCTGGATCCATCTTTTGTCTGCTAAAGGACTTGCCTACAACCATACTTCCAGACACCAATTATGTAAAAACACAAAGCACCAGCTTTGTGCTAGAAAAACTAAAAACACAAGCATAAAATGTTGGTCTCACCTTGAAATAGTCTGAGTATTACAAGTTTCTTATGATGTGGAGATACTGCAACAACTCCATGAACATATTAACTCAACCTTAATTAGTGCATAAAATGTAATGCAATGTTATTATTGATGACACAGAATACACATAGAATCACAGAATAGTAAGGTTGGAAAACACCTCCAAGATCATTCAGTCCAACCACTAACCCAGTGCTACCATGTTCACCGCTAAACCATATTTTCAAGAGCCACATCCACACACCTTTTGAAGGTGGTGATTCTACCATTTCTCTTGGCAGTCTCTTCCAATATCTGACAACTACTTTAGTGAAGAAATTTTTCATAATATCTAAATGTTCTTCCAATACAAAATGTTCTTAAATAAGCATGGCATTGAGGGATATGCAGGAGACTGGGACTGGCCCTTAGTTTCCACTTTCCTGCATAGGAAGTAACTGGGCTACACTAAGTTTGTCAAATGCTTCTCCTGTTCAGAAACACTTAGGCTGAGTAGTGCTGAAAAATGGTGGAAAGGAAGGGAGAAAGGGACATGGACATAGCCATGGACCACCTGCTGCTGGGGTGCAGGGTAATGGGGTAGTGCCATTCTGCACTTAAAGCTCTCCAATGGGGCAGGGTGGAGATGGCTGGGTGAGGGAGTGGAATCGGGTACACCAGAGTTTTGTGGTAACATGGATTTTCTATTTGCTTGGATTTTTGTTTCTTCCTCCAGCCGTTCCAGCTTAAATGCCAAAGTGGAAGAGTGTGTTAAACTAAACTGTGAGCAGCCTTACGTCACTACAGCAATAATCAGCATCCCGACACCTCCAGTCACCACACCCGAAGGAGATGATAGGCCAGACTCTCCTGAATATTCAGGAGGAAACATTGTCAGAGTATCTGCTTTATAAAATAAGGAATTATTTATAAATTAGCATAAAGACCACTTGCAAGGTGAGCTCAAACAGTGAAAAACGAGTCGTGAGGAATGAGAGAGCTGACAAAGAAAACACCCCTTGATGAGTGTGCCAGCGGACACAGAGCAAGAGGTTCAGGAGAAACAGAACACTCTGTGGGTTTTGGTGTCCTAGGGTGTGAACCAAAAGGAGTTTCTTACCCATTGTCCGAACTGACGCGCGGTGGAATCTTCTGTGACCATCCTGACTTATTATATGAGCACAATGAAATGTCCCCATTGATGCTTCTTCTTATCATGAAAGCTCTTTTTAGAAAAAAACCACAAACGAAAAAATAGAAACCTGTGTTCCTGCTGAATGCAAAACAACAAGAAACATTTTGATAACGTGTCTTTTTTTTTCCCTGTTAATAAACCACAAACTTGTTGAGGAACTGTCAAAAAATGAACGAAAAAATGCTTATATGAAATATGTTTGTACTGACTGAAAGAACTACAACCATAATGCATGCTGAAATTATTTGGAACTGTGATCTCAGTTTACTTTTGTTGTTTTTCAGATTAGGCATGATAAAATATTACTGTAGAAAGGGGCATTTCCGTGCACTTACAACAAGCTGATTGTTAATGTTCCATGGTAGTTGTACAAATAACTTCCCTTTGAAAAATGCAGTATTTCTTACTTAAACACTCATTAGTGAACTAAAGGTGTTCAGTTAGTTCAATATTTACTATTGTTTTATCTTGCTTCCTAGGTACTGTTACAACTGCAATAAGTCATTGTACACCTGTTGTATCAGGAATCAGGATTGTTTTTTTTAAGGTATTTAACACCACTTCATCTACACTATAAATTTCTAATGACAAACATTTACATAATCTTACAGCCAAATTGTGCACCACAGATGTGCTATTCAGTCATTGTTCTTTTTCTTCACTGTTCTTTATTTCTATGACAGTTTGTTGCCCACTCCAACATCACTGTACCACTTGGGATTTCAAGGCTGCTGATGAAATCAACACAGTCCTTTTTTCCACAGACATCTTGTCTACTTCTATATTTTCAGAACAAACCTCTCGTCCCAGTGTACTGCTACAAGATCAATCCTATTTGAATTAAAATTACCACAAAGGTGTTTTTGGGATCAGTTAACACTTATCTCCAAACCTTCCTTCCTCATATTCTGCAGCATCCAGAGTATTAGCTACACTGGAAGACACTGAAAGACATTCAGTAAAAATGATGGCTAAATTCTTTTTGTAATTATCTGTAAACTTAAAACTTGTTTGAGAATTTATATTGTGTGAAAAACATTTAATTACCTAAGAACAATGACAGAATAATGGATTGAGTCCCAAAGCTATAAAAGTATAATTGATTTCAATTGGAATTTGCCTACACGGACAGGCCTAAAAGCTAATATGAAGGCTTTACGAGTTAAGGCTTTTTGGCTTCATTTTTAAAAGACAATGATATCAGAAACCTTTCTGATAAAAAAGTGTAATTTTTCTTCATGAGTGTGTGTTAGATGTATCATAATGCTTCTTATATTCATGAATACCATACATCATATACATCAAATATACATGGAATATGTGCATATCAATACATACATATATACATCAAAAACACTGGATCAGAAATAATTGCATGTCTGCAAAGTAAAATATGCATATAAATCAAAAGGCTCAGTGCATTAGATGCCATTACAATAAATGATTAACACAGTTATTTAATAGTTTGAGTAGTGTATGTTTCAGTATAGTATTTGCTAGCATTCTACTGACCTGAAAATTTACATTAAGAGAAAATACCCACTAAAAACTGAAACTTGCTGATGATACACTTTTTATTGCACACAAATAGTGGTCTTTCAGACATTGAAGAGTAGATGATGGACTATCATGCTACAGTATACACACCAAAATACAACAACGTCACAGAATTAAACTGCAAGTAAAAAGAGTAGATAATGCCATTCATTACTCTTTTATCATTTACTTATTTTGAAGCTTGGTTAATTTGCAGTTAACTTCTCACTATTTTTGCAAATCAGATTAACTTACTTATTGTAAACTGAGCTTCTAAATTTCTTTCAAACATTAGCAGAGAGCAAAAGCACAGGCTTTCCTCTGAGCCAGAGGAGGAGCACTCCTTCTGAGGAACCCTGCCCGAGTTCATTTTCTGGTGTTGCTCTCCTCTCTTCCACCCTGTTAGAAAACTGCAGTGTATCTGCTGAAGCTGGTAGGTTACATGAACTTCAATGGGGTTTAAAGGAGAGGCAGAAAACACACAGTTTTTACTTGCATCCTACTTCTACCCATGTTTACTCATACTTGGTCCCCACGTTTTGCCAAACAGTTACTGATAGAAAAACTGCCTTGATGTTAGCAATCTGCAACAACTTCTTTATGCCACATGGTACTTCATGAGTAGCTACATCAGCTAAATAGTGCAAAAAGGCAGTTACTAAACCTGCTTTGGTACAGTCTAGATACAACCCAGGAAACCTACTGACTCCATCAGGTCATGTGTCTTTTAAAAGCTCTTTATTCTCCTTTTCATAGGCACTAGAAAGAACGCACTACAGCAATACACTTGCATAACAGTTATACCCCTGAAGCAACTTGTACTTTCATTTTTAAAATGCAGCTTAAGAGATAATTTAGTAAGATTTTGCAGAATTCCAGTCCTGTCTCCTATTTCGATATGTCACATGCAAAGCCATTAATTTATTCTGAATTTGGGAAATACACTTTTTTTTTGGTGTTTTAAGCGATTTAAATACTGTTTTGGTAGTGAATGACTGTTGATGACTGTGTAAAATGCATCTGTACTGTACATGAAATGTAATTATTTCTGTGTATCATACAAAGAAACTGAGGTTGTTGTTTTGACAATTTTGTTTGACAGTCATATATCGTATTTCAGAAGGCAGCATAATACCTGTGTTATGCTGAATAAATAGACATTTGAGGAATACTTAAATAAAACATCTGCATGCTTGAATGGGTCAACCTGGTTTTGCAATAACTTATTAATGAAAACTCCCCCCCACCCACCCCCGGCTAAAATTTTTGAAGGAACACTATATCTGAAGTCAGTGAATGTCCCAGACATTAATTCCAGGCAAGATGGGAGTGTATCTAAGTCATACTAGAACTATCAAGATCAGGATGTCACAGCTCCATTATAGAGAGCTGCCCTTGTTCTGTGCCAGTGGCCATCGCCATTCCCTTTCCAGCCTGCAGCAGCAGAGGACACTGGAGCATTGAATTATTTGTAGCAATATGAACTCCACATCTTTCTCTGTACTTTAAAAAACGTCTGCTATGTTTTCAGTATATCCAGACACCGACCACTCTGCTGAACCTCCCAGGCTACAGAGCCTCTCAAATCAAATTTTATCCATTGATAAAATATTAGCGCACAGATGAGATCAAACTCCTTTTGTAGCATAAGAGCAGGTAACAACACATTATGTATCACTAATAAAGGGCAACTGACTGCAGACAATGCTGATCTACCAACTGTGTATCAGCACTGGTACATGTCATGGCTGCCTCTGCCAGGAGCTCAGTGCTCTGGGTGGTGGGGAAAGACAAAATCAATGCCTGTCTGGGAACCATCCCAGAGCATTTTTGAGAACAACTGTCCTTTCATAAAAAACCTACAGGAGAAAAACTTACAACATACACTTTACATTTTGAGGCTGTGGATATACTCTCAGTGGAAGCACCCTGACTACTGGGAAAAGGCTTTGGCAGCAGAGAGCATGATGCAGCCTCAGCTGCTCCAAGGAGTAGGGTGGCCTTCAGAGAAGCAGCTAATCTGGAGGAGGATCATTACATTCTGAGCAGGGAGCGTGCTTAGGAGGTCATATGCCCTCCTTGCTGCACCTGGGACCTAACAGGACTTTATTTTCCCATTGACTATGGGAAAATCTGAGGTTTATCACATGTTCTGAAAGAGCCATCAGCTGATGGGATATGTAAACCTGTGGCTAGAAGAGCAGGAGTGTCAGGAGCGAATGGCCCATATGGGGACCGAACCTGTGACCTCAGTGTTTTTAGCACCACGCTCTAACCAACTGAGACCCAGTAAAATGCTTTTGCAGTAGAAACTTCAAAAGCTATTTGAAAATCCTTTCTTCCAATATATTTAACTGTATAGTTGCTGTGGCAAATAGCTTTTCTTTTTGCTACTTATTCTTTATATATTGCTTTATATTCATATATGCTTTTACAAAATGAACAGTTATAAAGAAAATATAGCTGTTTCCTTCCAAAAGCCTTGACATACAACCTGCTGGCAGGTGAATCAATATCTTATCCAAGTTTAGAGAATAGGGATTTTTGCCTCCTGAAAGCATCCCCATAATCCCAAATCATGACTGTGCTCAGCCCCACAGCAACAGGCACAGTCCCACGGACTGGGTATGATTCACTAGGCCAAGCAGGAACACCTAGTGCAGCAGGGAGTGACTCCTTTGTCTGATACAACTGCTCTCCTTGAGCACGCCTTGAGGGCTCTGTGAAAAAAGTTAAGGAGCATTTCCACAAGTGTTTGTTGCAATAAGAGAGATTTAGTTCATTATGCTTTATGCTGCAGAGAACAAAGAATGCACCATCCTTCTCCAAGTACTCCTGGAAAACTGAGGGAAAAAGAACAGGATGAAGTAGTTTTCACTGCTGCAAGTATCTAAATGTTCCCCTCTTGCCAAGCAGCCTCTCTCCTACATATATCCTAAAGCTCTTCAGGAGAAGAGCAGGCTCAGTCAATTATTTTAAGGCTCTTTGAAGAAGCTCCAGAAAAACAGACAGCTCACAGCCTGAGCAAAGGAAGTCTGAGAGTGTTCAAATTTACAGCTGAGACCTATTTCTGCAAACGTGGTTAGATACTCAAAATAGAAGGATTCTTTCCCAGAATACTTACCAATAGTCCTTACTAGGGAGAGTATATTTTATTATTTCTGACATGTGGGTTGTTCCAGTAATGAAACCAGCCCCATGCTGAATGCAGACTGGATCAGGGTTTGGGTAGCCAAGCCCAAGTGAGGTTACCCTGACTGCAGATGTTCACTAGAGGTCCACAAACACTGGTCTGGGAGGCTGGCTCTATATGAAAGGGGGCCTACCCCAAGCAACTCCTCTGCTGTTAAAATAACCTGACTACACCTAATGGCAGCGCTTCCTCAGAACCTGAAAAGCCTAAAACCAAATGACCTGGGCTGGAAGTATCTCTAAATTCCAACATATTCTCCTAGCTTGGCTCACCATATTTATTCCTTCATGAGCTCTGACCTGGAAACAAAAAGACTGCAACACTGCTCAGGCTGAGCAGTGGGAGGGATGGAAGTTGGCTGTGCCTATGCAGTAACACTGGGCCAAGGCTTCCAGAACTGAACACAGGAAAGTATTCTCACAAAGATACTCCAAGCAAAATTTTGGTACAATCTATCCTTTAGTCTTTTTCTTGCCTCCCAAAATACGAATTAGCATATTTAGGAGATATACAGAGGCAGAAAAGTAATCTCGCTTGCAATACTACCCTTGAAATGATTACACCCACGTGCAGACCGCTAAAAAGCAAACAACAGCCCACACAACTGAAGACCTTAATTTCACAAGCCCTTAAGAAGCTTTCTCAGAAGCAATAATAAAATAAAAGAAAATTAAACTTACAATGCAGTTTCGCTGGAATGGGTAAAGACATTTCAAATTAACTTGCATTAGCATGAGGACCCTCACAATGCCCACCCAAAGTACTCCCACTGCAGGACGTAAAAACGAAAAAGCCATTATGGAATTTAAGAGAAAAGTAATTTTATTGTCTACCAAATCACACCTTGCTTTTTTTTATTTTTACAAATTCCAAAACAAATGAAAGAATTTTTTTCACATAATATTATGTAAAAACTCCATTTGCCACAAACTACTATACTCAGTGGAACAAATATATATTTCATGAGTGTGGCCAATTGTAAAAATAATCTTATGAAATAAACATTGTTCATAAAAATACAGTAAAATGCACTTTTCCCACCTCAATAAATATATCTTAATGCTATTTCCAGTTGGCATTTTAAGCCACCAGAGAGCTCTTAATGAAGAAGTCGACAAAGTATAATTTCTCCTCATACACTTTTAGAATTATTGCAATAGTATCCAGAACTGTAAGCATTTTTCTTGCAGTCTTTTGTTTCTGGCTTCAGGGGAATCACAGACAGGAGAAAAGATTTATCTCTAGAAATGTGCTACTCCTATATTGATTCCCATTTTGGAAAGAATGTTTTAGATTTTCTTCCTTTTCACTAAGAAACAGTCCATAGCACAAACTAATTTTCTGGAGAATTCGTCTTTGAAACAAAGTCTATTGTCCAGAGTTACAGTTTTGTTTTGAATCCCTGTTTAATACATTTAAAATTAAAAAATAAACAGTTATGTTAGATAAAAATAGAAGTTTTAGAGCATCTTTAACAACAAAAGCTAAGATAAAGGTTTTGTTAGAAAAAAGAAAATCTCGCCCTTTTTACAAATCTTGCGATTTTTTTAATCCAAGTATTAACTTGAATTCTAGTTCTGCTTTCCATGCGCACACGAAAACACACAATTATACATACACAGATCCCTGATTAAGACATTTTCCAAATGGCTTATTAAAATTTAAAAGTCCATTTCAACTGAAGTCACATTTTGTCTGTCCAAAGCATGCTGTCTCTTCAAAAGATGAGTATTTCTCTTCCTTTCCCATGATGTTTCCTTAGAAGTTCTGCCTACTTGTGAATGAATCCATGTTTTATACGTTACACAGACTGTGACAGCAAGTAAAATATCATTGTGCCCAACTCAGTGAGTGCCTTTTAAAAAACAAGCACACAAATTCAATTCTGTTTCATGGCTGAGGACATAGCTAAGATGCTGACAACAGGTTTTTCTTTCTTGTCTCCTTCACTTCCACTCATTAGCTGGTTTCTGACACATAAGAAGACCAGTATATTTGGCCTATTTGATGGAACAGAATAAAAACACAACAAACCCAATTAAAACCCTCTGAGACTTCTCAGACTCATTGCATCACCTCCAGCTCTTCCATTTCAAAGTGTGTATTAAAGCTGTTTGCCATGGACGTATGTTCAAAGATCCTGGTCAGGCTTGGTTTCAGTAGCTCCTGTGAGGTATCACTTTTCAGGGCCATGATCTGATCTGTCCTGGGATCCCTTCTGTCGTAGTACAGAGCCCACAGCAAAGTAATGGTGAGGATCATAGCCAGAATCTGAGTAACTCCAATAGAGATGCCCAGAAATCTCAGCACTTGCAATTGCTTTGTCCCCCTCAAGAAAGTGTACATTTTTTTACCGCATCCCTAGAAAACAAAAAGAGATTAAAAAAAAACAGTTACTAGCAGTTCCCAAGGTTTAACTCATCCTACCCAGCTGGATTTTCTGCCTCCCAAAAATGTATCCCTCACTTCCTTCAAACAATACTTTGAAAATTATTTGGCCTACTTTTGAAGTGTTTCCATAATGCAATCCTTAAGTTTTCTAATACAAAGAAGCTTTACTGCATGTAACAAGCTGCAAGAGATCTGTGCTGCTCTTCAATTCAGGAATCATTCAAAGTTGACCTGAGTTCCTATCAACTCAGCTGGTTTTGTGAAGGTTTAAAAGCAATTAAATTATTCTTTATCACCTTGTTTCTCTCCTTAAATTGAAGATCTTCAAGGCTGCAGATTATTTTAAACTCTTTACACTTTTTCTACAAATATTACCTTTATTAAATCCAAAACTAAAACAATACTCTAGGAAAGATCTACAGACCTGCATAACCTAATCAGAAAAAGTCTGATGAAAACTACATTAACACATCTTAAGTTGATGTTGCACAGAAATGGAAATTAAGCTCTTTCCAAACCATCAATTGATGCTCTACAGTTTGCTCACTAATTAAAGCCAACTAATTACCACACAAGGCTTCAGGAAAGCTCCTAAGCCCTCACAAGGCAGCAAGGATCCACA